GCCACGCTACACAGAGCCGCTGTCATCCAAAAACTGACAGGATGACAGCGGCTCGGATCGGAACACCGCTCGGCCATCCTGAATTGCGGCCAGCCGCCGCTCGTTCCCGGGACCCCCCCGACCCCCCCGCCGGTGATTTTTGTACGGATCCCCGCTGCCACAGACCCTACAAGCAGTGGGGATCCATGGAGTCCCTCATCCCTCCCTGGGATGGCTCCAGGTATTTTTGATAGTAGTCATCAGCGGCTTGTGAGCCGCTGATGACAGCTATTAATTTAAAAGGGGACAGTCTGCTGAACAGTTATACTATAAGCCATCAGCTTATAGTAGAACTGTAAATGCCAGGTCCGTATGGCATACTGACCTGGCCAGCTGGAAGCACTTTTGTAGGTCCGTATGCCATACGTCCTTGGCAGCGAAAGGGTTAAAGGATTTGGTGGGTGTGCTTCAAATCATTATCATATTGAAAGATGCATTTTCTAGTTCAACTTCAAGCATTCTGTGAATGGATAAAGGTGAGATCCTGTCATCTACCCGCCTGTTCTCTCCATTCCTCCCCTTGTCACTGTACGCCTTACATTTTGTGAAAAGAATATAAAGCTTTTTGTGAATAAACAAGGGTAGGTGAAGGGGAGAGTGAACAACAGGATCTCCACACTGTACGAAAGTGGGAACTGTCAGTCACAGTGCAGGAAGAGTGCTGCTTGTAGTATCCGGAATTAAAGAAACTAAGATTTGTACAGTAATCAGCAGCCAGCAGGGCATAGGATAGTCAGAATTAGAGGTCACTGAAAATTTACTTGTGGCTATTGCAAGACACCTACAAGAAGTCGATTCTGCTAAAAGGGGCAATACTAGCTTCTAAAAAGGTCAAGACTTTACTTTTTCCACAGTGCGCTAATATTTTGTCGAATAAATGATTGAAAAGGCAACACTTTTTATTCAAGTATATCATTCAAGTATATCATGTTTATCTGTAAGCACTATTTAAAAGAAGATCTAATGTTTGTTTGAATTACTTCCATGGGGTGCACTTACTTTTTTTTTTAAACTTTAGCAGACTTTCAGGGTTTCTGGATAGTATTAACAGCCCACTGATTTAAAAGCAAGGGATTCCTCTTTTAAAATGAGCCTGTCAGAACAGAAATATGGCAGCTCGGACTGCTAAGGCAATACGAGGGTCAAAAGGTCATCCGAAGTCTGACAGCTGCGGACCTGACCACTGCCTGACTTCACACACAGTCTCCCAGCTTGGGAGTGTGCAGAATGAGAAGTCGGGCAGTTAACAGGCAGCAAATGTCAACTTTCAGCCGATCCTCCCACTAAAACGTCAATCTAAATCACATTAATAAAAGAGGGAAATAGATAAGACTGTACCGTTATAAACAATTACAGACCTAATATTTAGATTCCTGTGATGGCACAATCGTGACCGACTCTCTAACATCCATGCACCAAGCTATTGTACAAAGAAAGTAAAAGACTCCCCGACCACAGTCAAAGACATCAACAGAGCAATGCGTTTTGCATTCCGTACCTGTCTATTCCGTTCATCCATTATCCGGGTAATCTGTATTTTCTTCCGCCCCATTGTCAGTTCCTTTCCCTTTTACAATCCAGAATAAAAAGTTACAATCCAAAAATGGCAGTCTTGTGAATACTAAAGCATGGTCAGCAGCTTTCTGTAATTGCTTTTCCGTACAGCCGCAGGCTTTAATTTCTTGGCCAAAAACCTGAAAGAACAACATGGACATGTTAAGCAAACAAGATGTGCAGATACACAAATAATCATGAAGAAACTGTTTGGATTATAAACACACGGTCACAATGAGCACTTCTTTGTAACAATATTGTGTTTATTTAATAAGGAAAACAGCAGTGTGCAAAGAGACTCACTGTAACCATTATACTTCACTGATCGGACTTCTGTAAACTGAAATCTGATTGGCTAGTAAAGGTTGCTGCACGTTGTACAGTTCTCGTTTCTGTGGATTATTAAAGGAGAACTATGAGGTGAGTGCTTTTCACTCACCTCATAGTTCTAGCCGACCTGTGACAATGAAACTGTCACAGGTCGGCTCAGTAGATCGGGAGGTAAGCGAACAAATACCGGCGTTCGCTCACCTCTCGATCCTGTCACGGCTCTCTGCCGTGACAGGGGAGGGGCTGGATTCCCCCCCTTCCCCGCTCCGATCCGCCAGTTAGCGGACGGGGGAGGGGGCGGGTACAGCTGGCTCTGCCTCTAGATAGTCAGAGCCAGCTGTAGCTCGCGGTATACTGAGCTTAGGGTAACAGGAGGACGCCAGTTTGTGTCCTCCCGTTACCCCAAGGAGAACTATGGAGAAAAACACTGCCCCCTTAGTTCTCCTTTAAAGAAAAGCCCACATCTGTAATAACTGAATAAGTCTCAGGATTTTACGTGTGTGTAGTACAATATATTATACATACATTATATATTACACATTGTAATATCTAACAGTGTGATTTATAAGATTATTTAAGAGGGTGTGTTTAGGGGTGGAGTTAAGGGCAGGGTAGGGGTTAGGTGGGCAACTGGTGGCGAGTAACTCTTAAAGCCTGGCTAGTAGCTCAGGACTTGAAATTTTGACCCCTGATATATATTATATACATATATATACATACACACACACACACACACACACCCTCTACAATGGACTTTTTCGGAATTGTATGGTCTGTATGCAGCGGTTATCCTCATAGATAAGCACGAGTCTCTATGGGAACAGAGAAGAAATTTTTTTCAATGTGAAGAAGGAATCAGCTAGTGGCCTTGCTGAAAAGGTAGGACACGCTTGAGGACTGAAGGACACAGACTATCCTTCAGCACTTGCTTTTTGTCCTAAGGGTACGCCAATGCTGCATGTTCAAAAGCCCTTTAAAGTCAATGAAAAGTCTCCATTTCGTCAACTATGACAACTAACCCCGACAAAAGATACATTTCCAACAAATGGTCTTTAAAAACCCAAAGCAATAGGTTAACAAATTATGAAGCGGTTCTCAAATCCTCTGTGTGTTAACCAGAAACATGGTTCCAACAGTATTATACTTTTAAAACAATATAATGCATATTATCCAACATGGATTGTACAATCTGACCTCACATTTAAAGTTGGGTACAGATGGAGCAAATTTTGGCCGATTCAGCCGGAATCAGCTGAAATTTGAACAGTTGGCAACCCAGCCCTTTCAACAGAAATCAATGACTGGATAGACTTTTGCTGAAGGGACATGTTAGAAAATAGTCGCCTGAACAGTGCTTGCAGCCAATCAGTTGCCATACAATATACACAGTGGAAAATTCAATCCACACTGTTGTTTAGTATGTGTACCCAACATAAGAGAACCGTTACATCCTCGTCCATCAATTAAACAAGATCCTTCATCAACTAAATCAGGTCCTGCACAAGATAGCTGTCGGAGGTGATTGAAAAATACTAATAGTCAAACATTTTGGGTCGTTTTTAGAGTAACGGTTTGGTGTACTTAAATCACACACAAATATTGAAACTTGAGTTTCATGACCAGTGGTGTATGCTGGGGGAGTGCATATATATTCATCAGATTGCCATGTGCTCAGTTCAGTCCGCCTGCAGGCCCAGGGATGCTCAGTGATGGGAATGCTGACTAGACCTCAAGCCTGGAGAAGGCCACATGTGGAACCTGGATGGTTCAGGAAATGATTAAAAGACAAGAAAGAGAGAAGCAGGATGGCTACTGGAGGTGTCTCGTACTGGTATGGACCTCAGGAACTAGTCTGGTGTCTCTTTAGTGGAAGATCTCATGCCTATCCCTGTTCAGCAGTTGCTCTATTACCCAGTGTCAAGTCTGTTCTCCTATTGATTTCTACACGGTGGAAGACTGAAAGGGATTAGCAAGTCTGGAGTCTGTCCTGTTTTTGCCTTGGATGTCCTAAGCCCTATACCCTCTCTCCTATTTGAAGTTCTGCAATAAAGCATTTTAAAAAGGCACTTAACGTGACTGGCGCCCAAACTTTCTTAATCCCACATCCCTTTCACTGGCTAAGAATCTGCCCCTGAGAGTGAACTGACAGCCCTCTCTACCATTTGGGGGCGGGGGGCTTGGTCACCTCAGGCCTCTGGGGGTCAGGTGGGCACTAATTATATATATATTTATTTATAATAAAAAAACACACACACCAACACGTCTCTGGCATTCGAAGTATCAGAAAGCATTAATTCTGTTTACTGTAATGTACATACGCCCTGATTTCTACATTATTGTGTCCTCCTTGTACATTTATATTAGCTACAGTACATGAAATTCCAGGATTAAAAAAAAAAGAGCAAGACAGCGGGTTAAAAACACTAGAATAGGACACGTTAAAAGCAATTACTAGCGTATTGAAAAGAACCTGAATGCAAGACTATAAACAATAGCAGCAATAAACACTTGCATGTATACCTACAAAGAACAAATTAAAGCTGCCACAGGGCCTGCTGTGTTATTCCTTCTACTTAAACCAAAGTCACACTGAAAATTAAAAACAAAAAAAATCTTTTCGGCAACAAAAACAATGAGACATCATTACTTATTCATAACATGCATGTGAGAGGAATCTTGGGATAAAACTGTATGGCACTTGTTGACCAGAGGAAACATAGCTGTGACCTACATTCCCTTTCATAAGCATGCATCTGGGTAACAGTCATCAATCTGTATTTTACTGCAAGTACTGCCGCTGACTATTGCGAAATCTGGGCCTGATCACAGCTGGAGGTACCTGGAGCTAGCTCTGTGACTTTGCCTCCCTACATAGGAGGACGATGCTTTGAGGTAGCCCCAAAGTAGAAGCAGGAAGCGAAAAGTGACATCCTTCATCAGCTCTTTTGCATGTTGCTGCTTAGAATTATTTATCATGCAAAGTGTCTGATGTTTAGCAGACTGTAAGCAGATGTAAAGCTGCGGGAGACATGTGGCCATTGTCTGGGGAGAATTTATACTACATAGCACTTGTCTTAACTGTTTGAGCACATCAGACGGAAAATGACTTTTCCCATATCCAGAGCCTGGTGACCTCACCATATCATTTCTTCCCATCTCATGGCTGTAGATCAGCAGAAGCCTATTACATGTAACCATGTATGCAATCTCTTGTTTCAGCTAAGTTTCTCAAAGACAGCTTCAAGTTGCACCTTAAAACTGTTTTTAGTTGCAACTTAATAGAAAGCACATTCAAAAAGGCATAGCACTGTCATATGGACAACTGAGGGCTAACCCAAACAAAAGTGCTCAAGACTGTGGCTATGTTCCCACTATGGTGCCCGGTGACCACGTGGCAATCATGCACAAAGCTGCGTGGATGGCCAAGCGGTCACGGAATCGCCCACTACCACCGATCGCGCTGGCGCACCCCAGTCCCGGCAGATTGCGCGGTTTCCTGCCGTGGTACCGCCCATGCAGTCACACACAAGCAAGTTTGAAGAAAACCACACAGTGCGTGTTGCAAAAAGAGGCACATGTACCTTTTTTTTTTGCAAAAAGCTGCACGGATGGAACCCCATTAAAATAAATGGGGTGGTGTGCAATCGTGCACAATCATGCGGTCCCGGGACATGCATCCCGGGATCGCCGATATCTGAACTTCGACTAAAACAAAACTCCTTCTGCAAAATAAAATTCTCCCTGTAAAATTAAAAGTGCTTGAACCCGTATACTGGTATACAAGCAGTTCCTTCCACACACTTAATGATTCTAAGAATCAACGTTCTTCAAAGCAAATTTTGTTTAAAGAAGCATAACTAGCGATTTACCATTTTGATCACTTCCATTTCAGATTGCTCATGCAAGGAGAATGGGTGGGGCTTATAAACCATTCCTTTATGTCCCCAGGGCCATTGCGCCTCCAGAACCATTGGTTTATAGCACAGAACCCAATATTATAAACTCTTCTTATATCAACACAAGCTTTGGAAACCATGGGTTCAATAAAGTAGAGCTTTTAGGAAGCATCTAGAAAGTACAACTAGATAGAACACCATGAGGAGGCCTAAAATCCAGTAATGGAAAGAGCTCACCAGGAGAAATTACCAAATGCATGAACCACTTTGGACTCAACATTGCTGCCATTGCTGCTTAAACACCCAACTATAAACAAGGGACCATGCACCAAGGGTGGGCAGTGTACGATCCTGCAAACTCTAGATCACAGGAAGGACACCATGGCATTCCAGCTGTTGTAGAATTACAAGTCCCATGAGGCACTTCAAGAGTTTGATAGCCAAGGCATGACTCCCAGAGGCAGAGACATGACAGGATTTGTAGTTTCACCACAGCAGGAGTGCTGAGGTTGCCTACCCCATTCTTGATCAAAACCCAGCATGCCGTACCAACCATTAAGGTAGCACCTCACGTGCTGTGGGAATGCTTCTATCTCATGCTTTCCATCCCCCCCCCTCAGTGGTTACATCATTGTATGTTTCTATGCCGTATTTGCAGTTTGCCCTCTTTATTGCAAAGAGCTGCAGAATAATAGCAGCACTACACATAAAATAAATAAATAAAACAAACAAACAGAAGGTTAGGACAGCGCAAGGCTAAACCCTGCTTAGTCAGCTCATTATGTGGTTTAGAATAAGACGACAAACAGGCAAAACATGCCGTTTTCTAAACCTCATACTTGACTTACTTCACAAGAATCCCGCTCCTTGTCAGCTTCCAAAGCATTGCTGAGAAATTGTCAAGCTTTCTACTC